TATATAAATATATAAACATATTTAATGTTTTTATGTTTTAATATTTTTATTAATGCTTTGAGAATTTCATATATGCATACAGTATATTTTGATCAAATTCACCCCTAACTCCTCCCAGATCTACCCTCCATTCCTCTACATGCCCTCACACCCCAACTTCGTGTCTTTTTATTCAATAACCCTCTGAATCCAGTCTATGCTACCCATACAGTCCTCGAGGTGAGGCCATCTGCTGGAGCATGGTCCACCTGCCAGAGGTCACATCTGAAAGAAAGCTGACTGTCCCTCCTGAGCAACCATCAACTGTTGGTAGCTCCTCAGCTAGGGGTTGGGTGGGAGCTCATGAGCTCCTCCTGCTCCTTGCTGGAATGTTGACTGGCTTGATCTTGTGCCCATTACACAGGCAACCACAGCTGCTGTGAGTTCAAGAGTGCAGCAGTCCTGTCATGTCCGGAAGACAGTTTCATATGGCTATTTTGTCCCAAGAGTATAAGTTAGTAGAGTTCGGCTCAAGGGGAAAGAAATTGATGGGAGTTGGAAAAGGGCAAGGGAGGGTTATGTGGTCCAAATACATTGTGTGAATGCGTGGAAATGCCATAATGAAACTCATTATGTACAATTAATAGATACAAATAAAAAAATTAAAAATTACTGGGGCTAGAGAGATGACTAAGCAGTTAAGAGCACTAGCCAGTTAGTAGAGTTCGGCTCAAGGGGAAAGAAATTGATGGGAGTTGGAAAAGGGCAAGGGAGGGTTATGTGGTCCAAATACATTGTGTGAATGCGTGGAAATGCCATAATGAAACTCATTATGTACAATTAATAGATACAAATAAAAAAATTAAAAATTACTGGGGCTAGAGAGATGACTAAGCAGTTAAGAGCACTAGCCTCTCTTGCAGAGGGCGTGCATTTTCCATGTATCATATATAGCATAGATATACACCCATATTAAAGAAAGAGCATTAAGTCATTAATACATCATGATTCCTATGGTTCTATATAAAAAAATAAATTATGCTGAAAATAAATTGTTCAGCATTAAGAGCACTGACTACTCTTGCAGAGGACCCCTATGGCAGCGAACAGCCATCTGTAACTCCAGTTCCAGGGAATCCGACACCCTCTTCTGACCTCCATGGGCATTGCACAACACAAGTGCACATACATATATGCAGGCAATACACACACTCATACACATAAAATAAAAAATAATAGGTAAAAATTTTAAAACATTAAAAATTACAAAAAAATCTAAAACTAAAAAGCTTCCATATTGCAGTTAAGGAAGTCTAGGCTAAATGTAGTATTATTTTGCCTTTAAGACATTAAATATGACCCTTTAAATTGTGTGCCTTATAATAATAAACATAAGCACTTGGCTTATATGATCAATGAAGCAAGAATTTATATACAAATGAGATACACATGTGTTCTTTATATATAGATTTTTCTCACATAAATCATTTGGTCTATTTTTGTTGCAACCACTTTCTGACTATGCTTATTGAAAATGCTTGTGTCTTTTTTAAGAGAAAGAGAATAGATTACTGATATTTGTTTGTGTGGTGCCCAGTTGCTGTGACCCCTTATGGTTATGCATCTAAGTTTGAGATCCACTTTGACGACAAGTTTGATGTGTCTTTTGGGAGAGAAGGAGAGACGATGAGTCTGGGCTGTCGTGTAGTCATCACTCCTGAAATTAAGCACTTCCAGCCAGAGGTCCAGTGGTACAGAAACGGTGAGTGTTTAGAATGGACTCTCAGTCTCTTGCTCACAGATACATTCAGATGAGTAACATCTGAATCTCAGAGCTGTGAACTAGGAAGGACAGCCTGCTGCATCAAGTTTTTAACATGCATTTCAAATATATAATCGAAAAGTATATTTGTAAAGATGAGATTTTCTTATCACTATGTAATATGTGAATGAATTACAAAAAAGTATATTCACTTTATAAGTTAACTTTATTTGATATTTTTCCTTATAGAGATCATTTATACCAGAAGAGTTGTATGAAACCTTAAGCACATATATAACCTTATGAAACAATGAAGTACTTATATTAGCAATTAATCATTGATATGGTTAACTAATCAGCAGAGTAAATTTTCAAAGGAAATTCAGACATTAACAATCTTTAATAATATGATAAAGGCTGTTTATAATTTTAAATTTTGTAGTAATTATGTAAGCTATCTGATGTCCCTCATAGACACAAAATAGATAAAAATTATCCTCTTATTTTATATCAGATTATAAACAAGGCTGGTGGAACAGAATTCAGTCAGTCCACTGTCTCCTCTAACTGCAGCTTTCAGTTACAGTGTAGCCTTACTTTGCTTTAGCGTAGAGCAATGGCACTGAAATGAAAGAGACACAAGGATTTTAGCTCCCTTTTAAGGTCTGCTTGATCAGAAGTCTATTTACAATCTAAATATTGCCCCAGACCAAATGAAGGGTAAGGAATTAAAAGCTGTAAAAACAAATTGATTAGTTGAAACACTGGACATACAAAACAATGCTACCTCTAAATCAGTACCATAAATCTGCAACCTGAGCATGCTAAGATTTGAGACCAAATGGTCCCTTCCAACAGATGAAAACATTAAAGTTGTCAGGGTTAAATAGGGGACTGTCCCAAATCACACTGCCAAGTTCTGGCCTTGGGAGACCTTCAGACCCATGGTTTCCATCTCAGGCACAAACTCTTTTCTCTGCCCTGAGCCATCTCTCATGTGACAGAAGCATGAGAGCCAATGAGGAAGAAGGAAGCACACAAAACATTGGTGGGGGGGGCACAGCTGTGCTTTCTCTGGCCCACCCACCCCATTATCCTAGGTACTGTAAAAGAGCACTGATACTTAGGGATTCAGAGCCTCCCTGCCCTGGAGGTACTTTCTGCAAGTCCACAAGGCTCCTCACTGACAGGATGCGTTCTGGACAGACCTAGAGAGTCTGATCATTCTCTTTATCTTAACTTCTTCCCCAGGTTTGTTTCTAGAGAGAATTAAATTTTAAAAAATTACAAACACATTCAGCTACTCTGTATATTAGTAAAGTTATCACATCATTTTTTGTGTTTGTTTTATAAAACAAACTTGGGAAAAATATGGCAAAGCAAATACAAAAGTAGTTGATAAGAATTATTTGTGGTATTTCCTGTAAGGGGTTTTATGATATTTCAAACCCCATTTTGTTCATGAACAAAGAGAAAGATTAAGAGATTTGTCCAAAGTTGTGTGATTAGTTAATGAAGTTCACAGGACTAAGACACAGGTCCCAGCTGGGACTGACTTTTTGGGCATGCAAATAGCATCATCACACAGGGCTACTCTGGAAGGTCACCTGAGGCGGGTCAAATGCTCTGCAGCCCCTGGCTTGACATTCAAATCATTCCATCCTGGAACTTACGTTATATATGTGAAGTCCGATGTGACTACGGAGTATGCACATAACAGAGAAGACAGGCCAAGTGACAGTGTGGACACTCACAGGATCAGGCTAATGGTGGACTTGAGCAGCATGTTCACTAAGCTGCGGACCCGGTGTGAACACCTGAGATAGTCTGGGGCACCTAGGGGTCTAAGGTGGTGTCTGAGACCAGGACATGGCCCAGACTGGAATTAGCAAGACAGCGGCCCCAGCAGCAGCAGCAGTGAGTGTTGACAATAGCTGTGGCCCCAGAGGAAAGGACAGATTTCACGGTGACATAGTTTGGGGACCCACAGTGTGGGGGTAGTTTGCCCACCTACCCCAAGACTCATCTCCACAGGATATGCACAAATATTAAGTCCCCACACAGGGATGGGAACTGCTAGCAGATAGCAGTTACTAGTAAAATATCACAAATAAAAGCATGCATACAGACACCAGAAATAAAGCGCATAAGGCAGTTTCTTCAAAGAGTTTGCAACCTCTGGTTTTGAGTCAAAAATAAAAATGAGATTTAAAGCATCTAATTGAAAGAACGTGATTTTCATATGAAACTCTGAGTGAGTCAGTTATAACAAAGGAAACAGTTGTGAAATTATCTTTCATTATAACTGATAATACAGTGATAGATGAATAAGCAGGCATTTTGAATTATGTACAAATTACGTCAGTTCTATGACCTCCAAAAATTAGAGGATGTGTCAGAAATAAATATTAAAATGCAGTTGTATAAATTCACCTTTAAAATGAAGTTCAGACGTAATATGAAATTGGCTTATATACTTGGATCATTTTAGGAAAATTCTCCCTCAACACGTATCAGTTCTAGAAGATTAAAATTTATATTTATCTGTTGCACATCAAAGTGTGGCACCAAAATATTTTTGTGCTTTGTGTGCTACCTATTATCTTTTATAAGTAAGAAAATATTTTAAAATGAAAAAAAGAATTATAACCTAGTACTTTCAACTGAATTTTGCTTTTTGAACAAGGAGCTTTGAAATTTAATTTGGTGTCACACTCTATAAATTATGTATCTGCCTTGAGGCTCCTCACTTCTGTCTAGTATTTTTATTACTATTAAACATGACAGAATGGCTTAAAGATATAGAGACATCTAAGAGTCAAATAATAGTCACTGTAGAAAATGAGGAAAATGGGGAAAAGGAGATGGAGAGGATGGAGTGGGGAAGAAGGGAAAGTTACAGAAGGTAAAATCAATTAATTTGCTTGCTTTTTAAATTTCTAGGAGAACCGATTTCTCCATCAAAATGGGTGCAGCCGCACTGGAGTGGAGACAGGGCAACACTCACATTCTCTCACCTCAACAAAGAAGACGAAGGCCTCTACACCATCCAAGTGCGAATGGGAGAGTACTATGAGCAATATAGTGCTTATGTCTTTGTGCAAGGTAAGACCTAGCCAAAACAGAGCACACAACCATGTTTCGGTCTGTACATGTGGTTTTGTGATGGTAAGAAAATCATTTGAAAATTCCCCCAGATCACCTGGACCAGGAATATTGAAAGCCAGGAATATCAGCTCTAGTACAAACAGTGATTCCTGAAAACATCAACTATCCATTATTCCTCAGCTTGTGGGGAAGGAGGGGAGGCTCATGAATCCCTCCCCGCTCCATGTTAGAAGGTTGATTGACTTGGTCTTGTCCAAGTCTTGTATAGGCATCCACAGCTGATGTGAGTCCATGAGTGCAGTGGTCCTCTCATGTCCAGAACACATTGTTTCACTCAGATTGTCCCTGACCTCTGGCTCTTACAGTCATTTGTGACTGAGCCCTCCACTGACACTTATGCTCTGTACCAGTTGTGTGTTTCTGAGTTAGCCATTATCCACTGCATAAAGAAACTTCTCTGATGAGGACTGAGAGACACACTAATCTATAGGTAGAAAGACAGGAATTTAGAAGGCAGTTTGAGCCTATGTCCATTTAGCAAAATCATAGTAGTAGGTTTACCCCTGGAGCCTGTGAGTTTTGATGAGCTGGGAAACAGGGCAGTGTAACTTAATACTTAAGACAAACTGTAATTGTTGGTTTTAAGCTCTCTTTTTCCAGGGGTGTCTCGAATGGGATATGTACACATGAGATGTTTTTCTCCATGGGATTCTAGCACTTTCAGCCAATGTGTTCTGGGTTCTTTCATGTGATTGTCAGGTGCAGTCATAAGAGGAGACATGGAGGAGCCTGAAGAAAACGAAGTGTATTATTCTCGAAGATCTTAGAAACAAGAGTTTCATCAGGGCCATGTTGGGAAGCACCAGGGTTGGTGGATCAGGAGGCAGAAGGGCAGGACCAAAGAGAAAGCTTTGACTGAGACTCTCACTGAAATGTTCACAGAAAGGGCACAATTTAGGGGCGGTAGTTTTAACTGTTTTTGGAGGGCTGAGATCTAGAAGTTCTCTCTAATTGCCTGGTTGGGGGTGGGAAATAGAATAGAGGGGGTGATTAAGGCAGAAGAATACACTTCCTGGTGTGTAGGCCAGAGGGAGGAGGTGTGCTTACAGGATGCTTGGTCTGCATATGAAGGCCTGTTGTGGAGATGGGTTTTAGGCTCCAAACTTTAAGCAGCCTAAGGAGGAGCAATTTCCCCTCAGCCAGAAAGGGGTTAGGACATCAAAATATACAGAAAACTGGAGATGGCCTCATGGTTAAGAGCACTGACTGCTATTGCAGAGGACCCAGGTTCTAGTCTCAGCACCCACATGGTGGCTACGAACTGTCCTTAACTCCAGTTCCAGGGGAATGTGAAGCCCTCTTCTGACCTCCATGGCATTGCACGACACGGGTTCACTCACATACATGCAGGCAATACACTCACACACATAAATAAAAATATAAAATATTTGAAAAAATATACAGAAAATTAAAAATATAAACAAAACAGATACCAATTTTTATATCTCTTGTGTAAAAAATAAACTCAGACATTTTGATCAAGATGGAAGTTTAGATGCTATCCAGATGCCTTGAAAGTAAGGCCAAATGCTCCCAAAGGATCTGTGATTAGAGCCTTCTGTCAATACCATTAACTTCTGAAACCTCAGGTGTCATGCATTTAAAAGCATTGTTCTCAGGGGGCTGGAGAGATGCTGTCAGTAAAGTGTTTGCAGAGTAAACATGAGGACCTGAGTCACATGCTCAATACCCACATAAAAAGCCAGGTGTGGGGTCCTACACCTGTAACCCCAGTGCTGGAAAGGATTCCTGGGGCTGGCTACTTAGCCAGTCAAGTGGAATCTGCCAGCTCCAGGTTAAATTATAGACCTTGTCTCAAAAAAAAAAAAAAAAAAAGGTAGACAGTGATTAAGGAAGACACCCGGCATCAATCTCTGGTCTACACACACACGCACACGCACACGCACACGCATGCACACTGTAAAATTTAAAAAAGAAAAGTACTCTGTTCTCAGAAGGGGCCTGTAGGCTTTGCCAGTTTCCAAAGAGGTCTACAACACAAAATGGAACCGATTCTGTCCAGCACTTCAAGTTTCATATGCAAAAGCTGGTTCAAAAATGTTGACCAATTTATCACAAAGCCCAGAGGTAGAAAGGAGGACAATCTTCTGAGATCTTGCCCGAGGTTTTACTTAGGGCCACTGGCTAAGCTGTGGAAAGGATGGCAAGTCACAATTTCTTCTCTTAAACCTAGCAGTTTGTCGCTTCCCTGTCTTTTAGCTGAGTCTCAGTTTAGCAGTAGGATGGTGGTCCTGGTGGCTCTGTTACTGTGGTCATGCAACAACCCAGGTCCCATTATTTTGCAGGGTTGCCCCAGGCCATCATTCAGGCATAAGGGAAGAAAAAAGAAAGGAAAGAGGGAGAGAGGCAGGGTTGGCAAACAGTGAGCCCATGTACAAGCCTTACCAACGATGGCCAACACTCAGGGGTCATGGTAAAGGAAAAAGGAAGTGTGGGGACACTGAACGCTCTATATCCTATCCTGGTGAACAGTAACAGATGTTCATTGAATTCTGCCCGAACCAGCAAGTGATAAAAGAACCTGAATATCTGTAACATCAGGCAAATTCGGCAGACTGTCTCCTCCACAAAAGCATGTGGGCACCGTCAGGTATCACCAAAGGAAGAGCAGAGCCAGCTCGGTAACTCGTCAGGGACTTAGTTTAGGCAAACCACCTGGATAAACCTGGCTAGATAATGGCTGAATAAGCGGTTAGCTTTGTTCTCAGCCGTCTCGTCTCACCCTAGAGGAGAATCAAACCAAACAAACCAAACAGGAACAAACAGACTTGGAACTCGGTGCTTCCTCTGCGGCCTTGTTCGGAGGACCCTGGCCCGCAGGGCTGCTGTCTCTCTCATGCCTCTGGGTGCCTCTGCTAGGGTTAGGCTAGGGTTAGGCTAAATTTCACGTGCCTAGTACAGATGCAGTGAAGGACTCAGAATTTAAATTTCACACACAAGTTTTCAAAATTCACAAATGAAGGAAATGGAAAGAAGCTAATATTTACAGGTGTTGATAGAAAAGGATTGAGTAGATTATTGGAAAAGAAAAAATTGAGCACATAAATTTCAGCATTTGGATCGTGAACTTGAGAACTTTTAGAAAAAACGTTGTTTATTATTATTATCACTATTACTATTATTATTGCAGTGTTGGAAAGCCCAAGGGCCTTGTATGTGCTAAGCAAGCACTCCGGCACTCAGCTGCATCCCTTGTTTGTTAATTTTAAGCGATGTATTTTAGAATTTTAAAAAACATCTTTAAATATAAACACACATACAATTCCACCACATTAACTGTACATCTGAATGTTTTAAAATATGTTTGTGGAGTTACACAATCATCACCCACACCTTACTTTTTGAGTATTTCTATCACCCTGACTTACTCCCATGCCCAACCGTGCTTTTGGCAACCACAACTCTTTTGTGTCCTTTCAGGACATTTTTGTGTATCTGTGATTTTCTGTGTCTACCTTCCTTCACTCAGCATGTTTTGGGGTTTAATTCTGCACCAACCTATAGGTAGCTGGATTGTTTCTGTGGTGTTTACAGAGGCTGGCACTAGGAATATTCATGTTCATATTTACGGGACAATTTTTTCATTTCTCTTCTGCACACACCCACATGCAGAATTGCTGAATCACATTAATATTTAGTCTTTTCAAAAAATGCCAAAATGTTTCAAACAATATTTTATGTGTTGTTTTATTTTATTTTATTCTGTATATGAGTGCATGTAGGGAGATGGACCTGTGTGGTACAGTGCCCTCGGAGGTCAGAAGAGTGAGTTGGATCCCCTGGAACTGGAGTTACCGATGGTTGTTAGCTACCATGTGGATGGCGGGAATCAAACCCAGGTCCTCTGCAGGAGCAGCCAGTGCTCCTAACCACTGAGCAATCTCTCCAGCCCCTATTTTATGTGTTTTCAAGGTTTTTGTCCATGATAGTATGTGAGGCCACTTCAATGCAATCTTTTTGGAGTTCTGGTATTTTATGGCTTAGAAAATAGCTTCCAAGAACATCAATACAATCAGTATATAAAGCACCATATGTCTCTAGAAACACTGAAGAGCTGTACACATACAGCCAGATTGTTATTCATAGATAATGTGTTCATTGTGAAAATATAGATGATATAAACAAAAAATAATGAAAAGAGAAGCCACCGGCAAACTTACCATCAAGGGTATTTGATGTTGTCATTTTGTACAAACTATTCTTTCCCCCTCCCTGTACACTTACACATACACACGCACACATTCACACATGCACACATAACACACACAGCATAAAGTGATAGAGGATGAGATTGAAATGTCAGAAAGGAAGAACTGTAAATGGCAAATAAGTACATGAAAAAGTTTCGTCAGTAACTAGAGCAATTAATCAAAATTGCAATGAAGTGATGCTTTTCTCCACCATACTGGAAAGGTTCCAGGATTTTAAAACTCCACTTGGGGGTAGGGAGGCTGGGAAAATGGCTGTCAGTAAAGTGCCTGCCAAGCAAGCATGATGACTCCCAGCACCCACATAAAAGCCAGACACAACAATGCACGTCTCTAAACTCAGCCCTGGAGGGGGCAGGGGCTGGGGACAGAGGCATAGACAGGGGGACCCCTGAAGTTTACTGGTAAACTCAGATTTATGAGAAAGTCTGTCTTAAAAAGCAAGATGGAGAGTAACGGAAGAAGACATCTGACGTTGACCTCTGGGCTACACACACACACACACACACACACACACACTCACACACACACACACACACTCACACACACACACACACACACACACACACTCACTCACACATACCCACAGCACACATGCACAACTCCACTGGGGTAGAGGAATGAAAGAACATGCACTTCTATACATAGCTGTGAATGTAAATTGATTCAAAAATTTTGAGGCTATTTTGTAACAACTATAGAATAAGACTCTATCTCAAAAACCACTTAGTAATTATCATTAGCATTTTTGCCAGATATGGTGGCACACACCTATTATCCCAGCACGAAATAGATCAAGGCAGAAGGAGTCTGAGTTCAAGGCTACCCTGGGCTATATAACAAAAACTATCTCAGAAAAGCATTTATAAATATAGGGAAAAACTCTAGAAAGGTTTGAGCCAATGTATTAGTAGTAGTTGTCTCTGAGTTACAGAGTGAAAAGAGGTTTGTGTGTGTGTGTGTGTGTGTGTGTGTGTGTGTGTGTGTCTTTTTGAGACAGGGTCTCCCTG